GAAACTTCATCAAGACATAAGGTCAAGGGTTTGCGGCTCTGTCAACAAAACAAATGGTGGCTATTTTGAGGATTTGTATTTAAAATGAGTTTTACTTTGCTACATAATTCCATACATTTTGGCACATATTTGATTGTCATCCATGTGTAAAGAAATGACCAAACCAGACCAAGTTACAGGTCAGATCTGTGGAGAGACAACCCCGCTCACAGTCAGAATGTCTGTTTTTTGAGGTATTTTTGAGCTATAAATAAAACCATCTGTAAGTGAATAAATGTAAGGCAGAGCTGTTTAATGTCACACTGTGGAACATTCCAGGCAGAGCAATGACATATCCATAGAAACAAGCAGGTGACGGACTCTCCTTTTAAGTTTTGTCTGGTAGAGTAAACAGGCAACATACTGTAGAGTATTTATTTATAGATTGATCGAAAAAATTTATGGCTTGAGATCAATCAACTGCCAATCAATCAAGTGGAAAAACAGGCCAATTCAGATCAATCCAAATCTCAACACCGGCAATTTACGTACAAGGAAATAAAAATCCACCTGTTGGAACATGTACCATAATGACACCAGGACTATAATTACTTTGCATGCCACCATGTAATTTATCAGCACTCATTTTCGTTAGCGAGAAGAGGAGGACTTTTCTAAACAAACTTCACTATTAAAATATTTGAAATTCTTGGTACGTCCTTCTTTGTTTACGTAGAAATGACTAGGCAAATAATATATAAATGGACTATAAAGATGAGACCACTTGAAGCTGTCTAAATCTTATGATGTATGGGATTATATTTGCTCCATTATTTGTTTTATGTGTACTAGTGTTTTTACTAACCAGTGTTGACTGTTGTAACTACCTGAGCACTTAAGCTAAGCACTTTTTGCTTGAATGTAGTTTATAAAGCTTTTGCAAACATGAATACAATTGTTGTAATATTTTCTAACTGTTGAACTGATGCATTGTAATTGTTTAAAGTGCCACTAGTGCTAGTTTACCTTTGCTGTGTGTGTAACACTCAGTAATGTGTATTTACATTATGTTTTATTTTTGTATATATTGGGAAAGTCTAATTTGAGTAGATTTGTTGTGAGGTCTGAGGTCCTCGTCTGTAATATTGCAGAAGTGAGGCAAAGAGAAACTTCGCGGTCGCCTGTCTCATTCTTTCCCTCTGATTTACAGGAAACATTTAATCTGCCCAACAGGCTCCGAGCCGGAATCTGTTACATGTGCACGCTGAAGATAAGGATATTACTACTTGTTACTTGGGTTAAAGTAACAGTTGATTTATTGAAACTTTGCTCCTGCTGCCCAGACCAGGTTTCTATTCCCCGATGACGAAATGAAAGGAGCAGGACTCCAGCCTGTAGAGCAGGGGTGGGCAAACTAATCTTTTTAATCCGGCCCGCCAAACTTGAAGAACAATAATAATAATAATTTTCAGTGTTTTTCAAAGTCATTTCAATAAATAGTAAAAACCGTGGGACTTGAAAGACAGATATTTTGTTGTAATGATTTCCAATTATGGGATATTTCAATAACATGGGACATATTTTCTACATATTCTATGTTATTTTTTTCTCTTATGAGGCTGATTACCATAAAGCTCCATCCATCTGCTCCTGGTCCGGCCCTTCCTTCATATTTTAGAACCCTTTGTGGCCCATGAGTCAAAAAGTTTGCCCACCCCAGATACAGAGCCTACCTGAGTACTGCAGAGTCACACCTCTCCTGTCCGGCCAGTAGGGGGCTCTTTTCAGTCAGTGTCAAATAGATTTTCACCTAAGAAGAAAAATACTCACACACACACACACACACACACACATACACACACGCACACATTTGATCTATTTAATCTCTGTCAGGGACTGTCAGATTTTCACCTAAAAATAAAATAAATATATACACACATTGTTACAGACGTACATGGGTCATTTGAATATCAATACATGTGGAAACTGTTAATTGGGCGACAGTAGTTCAGTTCAAGAAGCATATCAACGAATAGTGACATACCCTTCACGTCTATAATCAAAATAACCATTAAACATGTTATAATATGATTGACTGAGATTCAGGACCATGCCTCAAACTCTCTCTGCTCCTCTCCATCGAATCAAAGCTCAACTCAACCTCACCTTCCATTACCCAGAAGCCCCTCTTTATACTGGCCACCACATTTATCCATAACATCAATAAATATCTTAATCATATACTATTGTTGTGCTCTGATCCTTGCTATTGAATCTCTATTTATACTGTATCTTAGTGCTGTCCATTTACAAAAAGAACTCAATTAATCACATAAACATTTATTTATTTATTTATTTATTGCAAAGCATTTTATATATATATATATTATATATATTATATATATATATATATATATATATATATATAATTTGTGGTATTATTATACATATAAAGACATACAGGCAGCGTCCTCCACTACTATCTAAAACTAAACAGAAAGTTAACATCACAATAAAGTTATCTTGCTCTATATAACTTTTTGGTTGAGGGTCTGTCACCTGCTTGTTTTTATGGATATGTCATTGCTCTGCCTGGAATACATTACATGTATACATTTATTCAATTACAGGAAGTTTTATAGTTAATAGTTCAAATATCTAGAAAAACAGGCATTCTGACTGTGAACTTGGTCGCCTCTCCACAGATCTAACCTGTAACTTGGTCTGAATTGGTCTCCATGAAGATAGAAAGGTATAATGCCATACTGTGAAACATTCCAGACAAAGCAATAACATCTCCATGAAGAAAAACATTTGACAACCCTCCACCAGAAAAGTTACACAATGCACCTTTATGGACTCTTGTATGTTGATTAAAATAATTGTCTTACAGTAATTGTCTTATAACATTGAAATCTCTCTGGAAACTGGAGAGACCCGTCACCTTCCCTGACACCGTCCAACCTGCCTGTCTGCCACCAGAGGGCAGTGTTGAGCCTAGTGGAGCTCTGTGCTCCCGGCGGAGTCGCCTCACCAGTCAGTAGGACAAACACACCAATATAAAGCAATGTTACTAATTGTGAAAAGCAAAACATAACAAAAAGATGTCTGGAAATTTACACGACAATAAAACCATATTCATTATTATAATTTTGAAATTATAGGGTTTGTTTTGGAAGAGGTAACATTATAAAAAGGCTTAAAGCTTAAGGACTATAAGCCATATTTAAGCCAGTAATTTGACAATTTAATAAATCAAATTACATTTTATTTAGTTATGAGTTTTCATGATTAAACGTAACATACTGTAGTTACTGTACTGTTAAACTAACAAATTACTGTCAAGCTAAACATACTGTACTGTAAATTGTAGTTTACAGTTGAACCACCACCTTAACGTGGTGGAGGGGTTTGAGTGCCTGAATGATCTCAGGAGCTCTGTTGTCGGGGCTTTATGCCCCTGGTAGTGTCACCCAAGGCAAACAGGTCCTGAGGGATGAATCAAACTAAGAGCGGTTCAGAAGCCCCTCATGATGAGAACTGCACAGAGGCCAGATTGGCGTCACCGGGGCCCTACCCTGGAGCCAGACCTGCGGTGGGCAGCAAGCATCTGGTGGCCAGACCTCCCCCCACAGGATCCAGATGGGCACGGCCTGGACAAGTGATGTGTTGCCGTCCTCCCATGGACACGCCGCCCACAGGAGGACCCATAAGGGGCTGGTGCAAAGTGAGATCTGAGTGGCAGTGAAAGGCTGGGGCCTCAACAACTGGATCCCGAGGAGGCTGGAGTCATGGAGTCTGAGTGGGCAATCTCCGAACCCAGTAGGGTGGACACTGGAAGTGAGGGATGCCATCAGGCTGAAGGAGTCCTATCAGGCCTTTCTGGCTTGTGAGACTCCTGAGGCAGCTTATGGGTACCAGCGGGCCAAGCATGCTGCAGCCCAAGCGGTCGCAGAGGCAAAAACTCAGGGTTGGGAGGAGGTTAGGGAGGCCACAGAGGAGGACTATCGTTAGGCCTCAAAGAAATTCTGGCGAACTGTTCTACACCTCAGGAGGGGGAAGCAGTTCTTCACCAACACCGTTTAGAATGTGGGTGGAGAGCTGCTGACCTCAAGTGGGGATGTTGTCAGATGGTGCAAGAATTAGGAATTGCTAAGGGTTGTCTGGTCCCTATATGATCAGAGCAGGAGCTGTGTTCGCATTGCTGGCAGTTAGTCAGACCTGTTCACTGTGCATTTTGGACTCTGCCAGGGCTGCCCTTTGTCACCAGTTTTGTTCATTGTATTTATGGACATAATTTCTAGGTGCAGTCAGGGGCCAGAGGGGTCCAGTTTGGGGACCACAGGATCTCATCTCTGCTGTTCACACATGATGTTGCCCTAATGGCTCCATCAAACCCGCACCTGCAGCGTGCACTGGGGCAGTTTGCAGCCGAGTGTGAAGTGGCTGAGATGAAGATTAGCTCCAAATCTTAGGCTTTCATATGCGCATTATCACAGACTTTGGCCTGTTTACATTCAGGCTCAAAACTCATCTATCATCACTGCAACAAACAACATTTAGTTAAATTAAAATAACCTAAATTCAGAGCATTTTACTTGACTTTAGTAGATTCAACTTGACAAGTAAAATTATCTACCAATGTAATAAGTGTGTTTTTCTTAATTCAAGCAACATCAGATTTTTCTTCTTATTTTACAGGCAAAGACTTGTTGTTTGTTAATCTTAAGTGAAGAACGCTATAGTTTCATATTTTAAGTTTTGTTCCATTGGTAGATAATTACACTACTGACATTTACTCAAATCATGATAAAACTTTCTTAATTCAAGTCATCTTAACTTGGCTGGATTATAGTTTTTGCAGTGTATATTGTGTTGATTTTACTGGAAAGCACCCTACTGAAAGTCACCCTGCGTGTTCATTTTCAGGGTTCATTTATTTTTACTCAATGACAACAGTAGGAATAACAAAAGTAGCCTTTCCAAGTCTTTATTTTTGTATGATAAGTGTCCACAAAAATTACATCTCTTATGATTTGATTTGAGAATATAGTTTACAGTAAATAGAAAAGCCTTCCATAACAAATATCTTAAATTAAATTAAATTAAATTGGCAGCTTTAAGTATCTTTTCCCATGCCTGCCACGATTCTTATTGCTGCTCTCACTGCTGCTTCGACTTTCGCTGCTGCTTCGACTTTCGCTGCTGCTTCGACTTTCGCTGCTGCTTCGACTTTCGCTGCTGCTTCGACTTTCGCTGCTGCTTCGACTTTCACTGCTGCCACGACTTTCACTGCTGTCACGGCCCATATTACTGTAATTACTCTCGTTACTGTCATGACTCTCGTTACTGTCACTATTGTCATTACTTTCACTCTCTGCAACTTGGCGTCTGGCGCACACATAGGGCATTTTAAGCGAGCATGGACGGTCATTCCACAAGTGATGTTCTGTGGATAGAGAATGGACAATTTACCATTTACAAAAGACGATAAAGCTTAAATTGGCCAATTGTTGGTTTCAGACGACATCGCAGAATTTTGTAGGTCAATATTATTTAATACAGATGTGGGCAGGTAAAATGATTTCTGTTGTAATATGGCATGGCCTTGGGTCTAGTCAATAATACTTCACACAACTGTACAACAACTCCTTTATGTAACACATAAACCTATGTCATGTCAACGATCATATCATCTTTGCACTGTTTTCCTTTTGACCCCCCGTATATAGATGAGATATACTCAGTGTTGGGGAGTAACAGATTACATGTACCAGAGTTACGTAATACAAGAGTACAAATTATGAGTAGCTGTATTCAGTTACAGTTACTGTTTCAGTGAGTGGTAATTACAGTTACTTTGTTGAAATAAATGGATTACATGGCGGTATTTTCCTGTTTTCCTGTTTTCACATTTTGGGCTATATCCCCCCCTTTTTTTTTTCTTTTTTTCGGTAATTCCACTCATTGCCGGAAACTAAACCAGGTCTAAACTAGATCTAAACCGGGACTAAAACGGGACTAAACCATGCTGCATGGACCTTGTCTCCTCCTCTTCTATCAATAATATTTTTAATACAGCTAAGTAAAGTCTGGGCTTTTTATTTTCTTTTAGCAAACAAAACATCTTATGTTACGATATCCTAGTCTTTGCTTCTCTGCAGCAAATCAAGTAATCCAAAGTATTCAGATTATGTTACTCACTTTAATTAATTTAATGGATTACGTTACAGACTACATTTTGGGGTACGTAATCTGTAATCTGTAGGGGAATACATTTTAAAAGTCACCTTCCCAACACTGGATATACTGTATTTGTATTACTATATTTACATTTTTTTTACTTTACTTGTACATATACATTTATATAATTGTGCCAGTCTCTTGCCATTTTTATTGCTACTTATTTAGAATGTATTATTACCATTTTTATATTTTTTTTACTCTTTATTTACTTGTTATTGTGATATAATGTGATGTGTGAGCTACTGAGTCCAAGTAATTTCCCTTGTGGATCAAAAAGGTTTGTTGAAGTCTATGTTTAAGTCTAAGTTAAAGTTTATAGAAATGATCAGGATCCATATTTGGGAAATACCTTTCCAACATTTCATGGGTACAATGTAATCAAATGGAAAAACTGTCTCCTCTCACACCCAGATCCTATTTGGAAGTACAGTATCATCACATTCATACTCCCAGATGGGGGCAAGGGTAGAGTTCCATGAAATCTTTTGCCATGAAATATCCAAAGGGTAAATTCACAAATGTTGAACCTGGTATTTTCAGTTATTGACTAAACCGAATTACTCACTGTATTACAACATAATTGCCCCAGTCTGTATTAAGTAACATTGGCCTGTAGAATGTTGTGATGCCATCTGAAACCCAACAATATGACTTATAGAACATGTTGCTTACCTTTATGGTTTATGTGGAGGCAGTGTTCATTTCCGTTGAGATTATCAGGTTCTCCAGAGGCCCAGAGATTAAAGTCAAATGCTGTCCCGTCACTCCACTGCCACACCGCCTCCTGGATTTACCACGAAAACACCAAACAAAGTCAAGTAGATGTTTAATGTTTAATCTTTTTCTGAATGGGTTCTAATGTTGTCTGTTGTCTGTTGACCTACCAAGTCTTGTTTTCAATAAATAAATAGGAAAAATGCCATTCCATTATAACTATTGTAAATATTATTATTATTATTATTAATATGTAAATAATTATGGTTTTAGACCAATCAAGAAGCAGTTTGTGATGAATAGTTGAAAAATGTTTTGATACTATTCGTCAGATAATAAAATGTGTGTACATTAGAGGTGTTTTGAACAGTAATATAGTAACAGTTATGGGATCCCTACCACAGGGGTGTTCAAACCTTTTGCATCAAGGGCCACATGTCTAAACACTTACGAAGCAGAGGGCCGATCGAGGGCTGTAGACTGGTGCTCAATACAGTGAATAATTGAAATATGTGCATGTTTAAACACGTTAGAATGAGACATGAATCTTTATTCATGCTAAGATCCTTAAAACTACACACTAATATTTAATACTTAATTTTATCAGGGTAGATTTTCAAAAAACTTGCACTAAAAAGTTCATTTTTAATTGATGCAAAGTAATTTGGGCCAATTCACCTGGAAGCCTGAGGGCCAAGAAAAATTTGTCTGAGGGCCGCATTTGGCCCACGGGCCTTAGTTTGGACATGCCTGCCCTAGCATGTGTTTAATTTTAAATCTAAAACAACGCCAAAAAATAAGCATGAATGATTTTGCAAAAATCTAAAAACATGATGAATGATCTCAACTGTGTTTAAGCACTTTAAATGTGCTTTGTGTAACTTTTCTGGTAGAGGGTCCATCAGATGCTTTTATTGCAGTGTCTGGAATGTTTCACAGTGTGGCATTAAACTTTTCTATCTTGGAGACCAAATCAGACCAATTTACAAGTCAGATCTGTGGAGAGGCGACCCTGCTCACAGTCAGAATCCCTGTTTTTCTTTGTATTTTTGAGCTATAAAACCACCTGTGATTGAATAAATGTGAGGTAGAGATGTTTAATGTCATACTGTGGAACATTCCAAGGCAGAGTAGTGACGTATCGATTGAAACAAGAAGGTGACGGACCCCCAACCAAAAAGTTACACGTATAAAGACACTACTACAAGAAGCTATGTTACCTGAACTGCATCATGTCCACCGATCCAAGTCATCGGGTACGTTCCAGTCACGCGCAGCACCAGGTCTCGGAGGAACTCATGCTCTTCATTGTCGTGGACAGCGACCAGGTTTCCACCGATCTCAATGCAGGAGAGCTGGAGAAAAGCAGATGTTACAAGATTAAAATTTTACACTGTTCCAAATATATGTTCCAGACCAGAGAGTTTTCAGTTTTCTAATTTCATCTTCATATATCACGTTATTTTCTGATCATGTTATAATGTTGTTTTCTTATCAAAAACAGACCTGGAGTTGTGTTTCATTCACACATGTTCTTCACACTCTCACTCTGATCCACCTTGTGATGTCATGTGGTAATACAGGAAATGCTCCACTGTGTTTTTAAACTCTATCCACTCTCACTAGATCATTTGGATAATTTCAGCCCTGGAACTGTCAATCTCTTCTGAATTCTTCTGTTAACATGAAAACTAGACCTTTTCATGACATCACAAGGTGGAACAGAGCATTTTGAGCTTTGGAGATAGAAACAGATAATAATTTTTGGTACTAACATTTTGAGCAAAAGGTTTAAGTTTTAAAGAACACACATTTTGCAATATGTATAGATATATTTTCTTTTTATCCTGTTATAATATTCTTCCTTTATCGTGTATTTAGGTTCATTCATGCCGGTTTCATTCATCCTCATTAATAGTCCTTTGCCTCTGAGTTTCAGAAAACACAAAATTTTAATTTTCTCAGGATTGTCGCATCACAGGTAGAAACTCATGTGTAGTTTATAAATCAGACCTGGGCCTTGTAAAGCTCCTGGGCCACGTACAGCCTTGTGGTTTACCTCATGCTGCTTTGGTTTTATTTTAGGGGTGTTTTTTTTTTTTTTTTTTTTTAAGTTTTTCAGATTCAGATTCAGAAAACTTTATTGGTCCCATAAGGCAATTCATTAGCAGCATCTCAGAGCAGTTCTCATTTCTCACGCACACAAACATAAACACACACAGTGGGTCGGTCCATTACAGTTCACCAGTGGAACTCGATAATAAACTACAAATTAACAGTGCACGACATTCAGAAAACTGTACCCTTAGAATTTAACAACTTAATAGCAGAGGGCGCAAAAGAATTTGAGAAGCGGTTTGTCTTTCGTATCGGAGCGTAAAACCGACGAACCGAAGGCATCAGGATAAAATCAGGAGCCAGAGGATGGAGGGGCTTGAGCCAGGAGACACTTGGCTTTGCTCAGCACTTTCTCCTCCCACAAAGAGTTTTTGTAAGGCAACCTCACTTTTTCACTGCTTAGTCATAACATAAACTCTTACCAGTCTCATCAGTTTGTCAGGACAATGCTATTCACTGCTTTTTATAAAGAAATACAATTAATATTATGCAGAATTGACTTAAAGGTTGTATAGAGGATTTTCCAAGGAACGAGAAATCCAGCGACTGTTTGTCCTTTTTCAAATGTTGCGCATGCGTGAAACCACCCCCCCTCCCCTACAGCTCCTACGTAGAAACGCCTCCTCCCGCCTCCTCCTTACGCCAGAAACAGGTTTGTTTACAGCCGGTGCACTGCACATGACTTGTAAACAACTAACTACAGTGTTGGTTAGGCAAGACGGAGAAGTGAGGAGCGGGGGGAGCGGGTGTGCGGACATTTCGTTCGCGGACGAGAAGTGAGGAGCAGGGAGAGAGGAGAGCAGGGAGAGGAGAGAGGAGAGAGGAGAGGGGAGCGGTGCGCGGAGATTCCGTGCCCGGAGAAGTGAGGAGCAGGGGGAAGAGCGGATCGGGCAGCGGGGACAGGAGCAGGAAAGGGGTGCAGAGAAGGTTGCGCGGAGATTCCGTGCGAATGAACTAGCTACAACACGCAGCAGCAAGCGGACTCTTTCTTTGCCTTGAAAATTACGTTTTCAGACATAGGATATCGCTTTCGTGTCCTGAAAAACGTTTGTCTAGCTCTTGGAAATAAAGTACGTTTTCATAATAAGCAGAAGTGACCTGTCCAGGAGTAATTTGTGGACCAGTGCGTCAGTCTTTAGACCCTGCGTCTGCTTCAGTCGCGCCATCGCTGGAATGAATCTTCAAGAATCACCTTAGTTTGGCTTCGCTGCTTTTCCCCTTGTCTTCTTCTTTCAGCGACCTCAAAAACGGACTTTCTTTTGCGGCGAACTGCTCCTGGATTCTTGTCGCCATTGCAACAAACTTTGTGTGAACTGCGAGGAAGATATAGGTCAAAAAAAGCCGCTAAGAACTGTTGCGTTGGTGGAGTAAACAGCGTCTGTGCGTCTTGCGTCTGTGGACTGCGTGACAGTCGTACGTAAACCACGTACCGGCGGCGCGCAGGCAAGTCAGTTACGCTAGAAACGTAGGGAGTTTGATTGACAGCCTGTCAGCTCACAGATAACGAGGCAGTGTCGTTATCTATTGGCAAATGTTTAGCCCCACCACGTCCAGAGTTGATGAATTTTTTATTCTCTTTTTTTTGGTCATCATAATTACAAGGCTACTGCACCTCTATAATGCTATCATTGACAACTTGAAACAAAAAAAAATCCTCCATACAACCTTTAAGCCTTTTGGCCTGGCCCTCCAAAATATTTTCTGTTTCTCACGTGGCCCTAAGAAAAAAATAATTGCTCACCCTTGTTATAAATCCTTAAATCAGTGCCATCATTAAATGGTTTGTCATGGTTTGTTACTCATGACCTAGTTACATTTTTGCAACTACCTCATGGTAATTCCCTCTCTTGCCAGTAGATGCCAGTATGGGGAGCACTGAAGTTGTGGAATAATGTGTGCTTTTTAAATTTCCATTATTTTATTTTCTGAAACATGAGATGCCGAGGTAAATGTATTCAAGAGTATTCAAGGTGCATTGCGTAATTTTTCTGGTGGAGGGTCTGTCAGATGCTTTTCTTCATGGAGATGTTAGTGCTTTGTCTGGAATGTTTCAAATTATGGCATTAAACCTTTTTATCTTCATGGAGACCAAACCGGACCAAGTTACAGGTCAGATCGGTGGAGAGGCGACCCTGCTCACAGTCAGAATGCCTGTTTTTCTAGGTATTTTTGGTGATTTTGAGAAAATAAATGTAAGGTAGAACTGTTTAATGTCCTACACTGAAAAAACGGTCCGATGCTCAAATTGAGACAACAATAACATCACTTTTTTGTCTGTCAAGCATGTTTAAATCTTTCTTGATTGCGATGTTGCATGTTTAATCATGAGAAACATGCTTATTTAAGTGCTTCTGAATTCCCAAAACTTTGAAAATTCAAATGTAACAGGACACAGGACAGATGAGACACACAGTTGGAGCAGGAATTATGGAGCTATCTAGGTGAGACTTTTCAAGATTTTATTACTAGAACATTGTTCTATTTGAAATTAGAGTTAATGTCTTCATTGTTTGACTGTCCACTACAAGATGCAGATACAAATGCTGGACATATTGTAGTAAAATGCTATAAGTGTTAAACATGTACAGAGTAGATCATCAGAATGTGATCATCATGTGTTATTCTTGTGAGCTTCTCACTGGAATAAACACACTGTCAGATGTCTCTTTGTGTTTGATTCTGTTTAAGACAATCAGAACTGTGGAAAACTAAAGACTGTTTTTGTATTCTTTTACAGAATTGATCAATTAAATTAAATTATACATACTTATACATTTCATGATAAGTACCATAAGATAAATATGCATATTCAGCATGATTTGTTCAAATTTCATCAACATGAAAAGTGATGTTCATGTTAAATGTGTAGAGGATCGAAAAGTTTCAAAGTAATTTATTGCGTGCAACCGTGTTAACTTTTTTGCAAATCCAGCAACCTTTTTTTTTTTCAGTGTACTGTGGAACATTCCAGGCTGAGCAATGACATTTCCATAGAAACATGCACGGTCCCCCGACCAAAAAGTTACACAGCGCACCTTTAAAGGCCGATTGCAATACAAGTAGTGCCACATATTTATCATTTCAAACAACATGCAAATTTAGAGCTGTCATGACGATTAGTGAAATGCGCAGTTTGATATACAAAAGAGGACATAACACATGTGATGATTGTAAACCTAGTGTTTTTATTTATGTTTGTGTATGTTTTTTTTGTGTGTATGTATGTGTGTGTGTGTAGTTTTATGTGTATATTGAGTGTGGAGACGGGAGTGGGAGGGTTTTTGTTTAGTTTTTTTGTCTGTCTTTGTTTTTAAGTGTTGGTATTTAAAGGTGCATTGCGCAACTTTTCTGGTGAAAGGTCCATCACCTGCTTGTCTACATGGGGATGTTTACCTGTATTGTTTCATAGTACGACATTAAACATCTCTTTCTAACTTTTATTCATTACGGGTGTTTTTATTGCTCAAAAATACAATAATTCTCTCTGTGAATGGGTTGTTGCTCCACAGATCTGACCTGTAATGTAGACTATAGACAGTGTTGGGAAGGTTACTTTTAAAATGTATTCCCCTACAGATTACAGATTACATACCCCAAAATGTAGTTTGTAACATAATCCATTAAATTACTTAAAGTGAGTAACGTAATCTGAATATTTTGGATTACTTGATTTTGTCATGTTTTTTTTAAAACTACATGAATGTAGCAACCACATCCTGAAAATTCAGTTGTTTGCTGTAGAGAAGCAAAAACTTGGATCTTAACCTAAGATGTTTTGTCTGCTAAAAGAAAATAAAAAGCCCAGACTTTCCTTAACCATATTCAAATATTATTGATAGAGAAATGTTTATATGAGATCACTGCTGCCTTCAAGTGTCATAATGTTTAGACCTGGTTTTAGTTCTGGTTTTAGTCCTGGTTTTAGGTCCTGGTTTTAGTCCTGGTTTAGTCCTGGTTTAGTCCTGGTTTAGTCCTGTTTTAGTCCTGGTTTTAGTCCTGGTTTAGGTCCTGGTTTAGTCCTGGTTTAGTCCTGATTTAGGGCCTGGTTTAGTCCTGGTTTTAGTCCTGGTTTAGTCCTGGTTTAGTCCTGGTTTAGTCCTGGTGGGTTTAGTCCTGGTTTAGTCCTTGGTTTAGTCCTGGTTTAGTCCTGGTTTAGTCCTGGTGGTTTAGTCCTGGTTTAGTCCTGGTTTAGTCCTGGTTTAGTCCTGGTTTAGTCCTGGTGGTTTAGTCCTGGTTTAGTCCTGGTTTAGTCCTGGTTTAGTCCTGGTTTAGTCCTGGTTTACTGGTTTAGTCCTGGTTTAGTCCTGGTTTTAGTCCTGGTTTAGTCCTGGTTTATCCTGGTTTAGTCCTGGTTTAGTCCTGGTTTTAGTCCTGGTTTAGTCCTGGTTTAGTCCTGGTTTAGTCCTGGTTTAGTCCTGGTTTAGTCCTGGTTTAGTCCTGGTTTTAGTCCTGGTTTAGTCCTGGTTTAGTCCTGGTTTAGTCCTGGTTTAGTCCTGGTTTAGTCCTGGTTTAGTCCTGGTTTAGTCCTGGTTTAGTCCTGGTTTAGTCCTTTTAGTCCTGGTTTAGTCCTGGTTTAGTCCTGGTTTAGTCCTGGTTTAGTCCTGGTTTTAGTCCTGGTTTAGTCCTGGTTTAGTCCTGGTTTAGTCCTGGTTTTAGTCCTGGTTTTAGTCCTGGTTTAGTCCTGGTTTAGTCCTGGTTTAGGGCCTGGTTTAGTCCTGGTTTTAGTTCTGGTTTAGCTCAAAATGTGAAAACAGGAAAATACCGCTGTGTAATCCATTTATTTCAACAAAGTAACTGTAATCCAATTACCACTCACCGAAACAGTATAATTCATAATTTGTACTCTGATTACGTAACGCCGGTACATGTAATCTATTACTCCCCAACACTGCCTATAGCTGTATTCCTTGACATAAATAGCTTTAATCTGTACTGTGGATTCACATTCTAAAACAATAACTTCTCCACGAAGTCAAGCAGGTGACGGACCCCCACCAGGAAGGTTGCGCGATGCACTTTTAATGTCAAAATCGGAAGAAATAAAAAAGAAAAAAAAAAGAACAGAGGACATATTTTGAGATAAGCAACAAAATGTGAATACCTCTGCGTCGATCCATGTCTTTGGGCCGTGGAAGAACATGAAGCAACGGGACTGAAAGCGAGTCCATCCTTCAGGACAACATCCTTTTGCTAAAAACAACCAAACACAAGCACAGCAACATTGAATTCATTAAGTAACTCATTATTTATACAAGTTTGTGACAGTAATAGTGTGTGTAATTTTATGTAAGTGCTTTAGAATGAAACACTGAATGGGGTAAATGAAGTGGGCCACATTTCTGTTTGTGTCTCTGTGTTTTGTCTTTTGGATGGACCAGTTTCTGTCTTAAGTGTTTGTTGGTTTGAAATAGATTTCATGTTGTCTGGAAATCTTCTGCGGCTTTTCAAAACAGCACCCACCTAAGGAATAGTCACACCCTTTCTCCTGGTTATTTCCTCATTATGCATTAATTGATCAAGTCTTTGCTAAGGTTAAGTAAGGTGTAGTTATCATCAAATGGTACATAATGGGACATTACTAATACATTTTAATAATTTAAACTGTGTGCCACTAAACTTTCAGTAAATAATGAACAAGTATCGATTAACACTGTTGAATGTTAAATTAACCAAGATGTCCATTAAGTGCAAATATTTATTTTTTAAAACTCGGTTCAGAGGATTTTAATGAAACATAATCTAATCTTGAACTCCAATCTTTAAAGTGACACACATCTACACACTTTGAACTATTATTAACAATTGATTTATTATTAATATACAGTCATGTTGTGTTAATAAATGTGTTAAGTGTTACTAGGGCATCATTTATAAAGCTCAATAGTAAAAATGTCATTTAAAGTAACACCATGTAACTCATCACCTGCATGAGTCCATGGAAATAGAAAGTTAAAAAAAAATACTTTGGAACATTCTCTATGGTCAAAGATAAGATTCATGCCATACTATGGAATATTACAGCCAAAGAAACAAGTTTTAGTGAAAAACACAAGCAAAAAAGATGAGAAATTACCTGGTGGGGTGAAACATTTTCGCCAGTATTTTTCTAAAAACTTCTTTATTCTGGAACAGCTGCGAGTAGTAGTAGTTGTGGGGTCAGGACGGGGGGTAGTAGTAGCAGTAGTAGGAGTAGTAGTAGTAGTAGTAGGAGGAGGAGTAGTAGTAGGAGCAGGAGTAGTAGTAGCAGTAGTAGGAGGACTTGTGGTTGTATTAAATCTTGGTGTACATCTCGTGTGTAATGGAGAAGTAGTAACAGTAGTAGGAGTAGTAGTAGTAGTAGGAGGAGGAGGAGTAGTAGTAGGAGCAGGAGTAGTAGTAATAGTAGTAGTACTTGTGGTTGGATTAAATCTTGGTGTACATCTCGTGTGTAATGGAGAAGTAGTAACAGTAGTAGGAGTAGGAGTGGTAGTAGTAGTATTAGTACTTGTGGTTGTATTAATTTGTGGTGTACATCTCGTGTGTAATGGAGAAGTAGTAGCAGTAGTACGAGTAGTAGTATTAGTAGGAGGAGTAGGAGGGGGAGTCGTGAAACTAGGACATCTGTCTTTAAGGGCTGCGTTCTGAAAAAGAAATATAGAAATAAAAATCCTTACCATTGTCCTACACTGAAGCCTGTAAACACGACATGAAGTATATTGTTATATTAAAACAGTGTTGTACTTACAGCTCCAGCCAAAAGTCCACAGGTAAAACTGAGGAAGAGGATCTGAGCCCAGAGCGCTGCCATCTGAAGAAGACAAAATCCTGATTAAAAATGTTATAATTCAGAATTTACTGGGTGACCGTGACTTACTGTTGCTGAGGATTCAAAGAACTCAGTAGACCTGCTGAGGAAGCCTTTATATAATAAATCAGGAATGACTAAGTAATGACGTACCCGATTAGAAATAATAAGCAGTATCAACCAGTTGTATTGTTATGAAGTAATTATTGTTAACCAGCTTCCCGTACTTGTTGTACAGGTGTCTGCAGTAATGATGACATCAGATTCTGAAAGTGATGGAGCCCTTTATTCATTTCTTCCTGTACCATAGCTTTTACTGTCAATATTTTTTAGGTAAATCTTACTTAATGGTGCACTGTGTAACTTTTCTAGTGGCAGGTGTCATAATAAATCTTACTTCTCCACAGATCTGGCCTAAAAATGCCACCTGAATGCCATCCAATGCAATCTCCATGGAGGCAAGTATGTGGCAGACCCTCGACCTGAAAACTTACTTACACCTTTAAAATTCTCCGAAATTTTACATGTTTTAGCAATGAAATGTCGATTTTAAAAAGTTAATATAATAATTTACTTGAACGTGTAATTAGGTCATAATTGAATTAGTAGGGAGAGGTACTGTAATTAAAATGTTAGAGTCACTGCCTCAATAGTCACGCCTTATACAACAGCCTTAAAGTATGTCAACAAAGATCTCAGTTGTTCCATTTGTTCTGGTCCACCACAAAAAGATGTGAAGCCTGTCATTTCACAAATATAAGTCAAAGATTGTACATTTTTATGCACAGACTTTGATGGTTTAGTCGTTGCAGGTGATATTAATGTACGGGTGGATAATGTGTGTGACAAAAAAGAGCCCAGTGTTGTCCTTGAAAAATTTGGTCCGACTTATTACAAAGGGTGTAAATATTTCAAATGTCACTGTGGTTGATGATGCTCTGTCTGATTATTTCTGTGTCCTCTTTGACCTTTCTGTTATTCACAAACCACCGACTGCTCCTACAGTTGTTCGAAGGAGACACATAAATGAGAACACAGATGCACTGTTCATGGAAATGATACACTTTGAAATTGCCTCATGTTCTAATGTTGATGATTTCTTGAACTCTTCAAGTGTTTTGAATGTTCTGCCCTTGCCCCGATGAAGGATAAAATAGTTAAAGATAAGCAAAAAGCTCCGTGGAGGAATGATGTCTTGGTCAGGGCACAGAAAAGGGGAGGCAGGAGGGCAGCGCGGAAATGGTACAAGTCAAATCTTCAGGTTCATTATGAGATTTACAGACAAAAGATGCACATGCATAACAATAGTCTGGGTAGAACAAGAGAGAGGTACTTTTTGGAAATTATTGGAAATTACAGTAACAACTCTCATGTCCTGTTTGCAACAGTGAACAGATTAACAAACCCTCCACCTCCACTGCTGTTAGAACTAATTTCCACATCTAAATGTAATGAGTTTGCAGTTTTCTTTAATGACAAAGTTCAGGGCATCAAAAATGCATCAGTTCCACAACACAAATAACAAGCATGCAGCCACAGAGACACTTAGAGCTGAGGCACTTTGCACCTGTAACTGACAAAACTGTTTTAGAGATCTTTACCAGTCTGAGTTCATCTACTTGCTGCCTGGACATGTTACCCACTAGATTTCTAAAGTCCATCCTCAACAGTTTACTTTCACCACTCACTCACATAGTTAACATGTCACTTCAATCTGGAACATTCCCAAACGCATTGAAAACTGCGGTCATTAAGCCTCTCCTAAAGAAGAGCAGTCTTATTGCCACAGTACTGAACAATTTCCGACCCATCTCAAATCTGCCGTTTTTGGCAAAGTCCTTGAAAAAGCTGTTTACCAACAGCTTACGAACTTTCTCCAAATGAACAACTCCTTTGATGTTTTCCAGTCAGGTTTTAGAGCCCACCACAGCACTGAGACTGCTCTTATCAAGGTGACAAATGACATCCGCCTGAACACTGATGCAGGCAAAGTCTCAGTCTTGATCCTGTTAGATCTGAGTGCTGCTTTTGACACTGTCGATCATGGGATCCTCTTACAGAGACTAGAGGACTGGGTGGGCATCTCTGGTACTGTACTAAACTGGTTCAAGTCCTATCTAGAAGACAGGAAGTATTTTGTTGAAATTGGAAACTGTGTCTCAGATCACATGGCCCTGACCTGTGGGGTGCCCCAGGGGTCGATCCTGGGCCCCCTGTTGTTCAATCTCTACATGCTGCCCCCTACAGGCCAGTTAATAAGCAGCAATAACGTGTCCTACCACAATTATGTAGACGAAGCTCAGATCTATGTCTCACTGGCAGCAGGAAATAATGGACCAGTGGACCAACAGATCAGTGTGTGGATGTAAATCAACTTTCTCCAGCTAAACTCTGACAAGACTGAAGTCATAGTGTTTGGTCCACAGAAACACAGAGCAGTCACCTCCAGTCTCTCTCTCTCTAAAACCCTCAAATCAGGCAAGAAATCTCGGGGTAATAATGGACTCAGACTTGAACTTTATCAGCCACATCAAATCAATGACATCTGCAGCCTTTTACCATCTAAAAAACATAGCAAAAATCAAAGGTTTACTGTCTAAATCAGACTTGGAGAGACTTATCCATGCGTTTGTCTCCAGTAGGTTAGATACTGTAATGATCTGCTCACTGGTCTCTCCAAACGAGCTGTGAGACGCTGCAGAACATCCAGAACGCTGCAGTTCAGGTCCTGACTCGAACTAGGAAGTACGAGCACATAAGTCCTGTGCTCAGGTCTCTGCACTGGCTCCTGTGCCTCAGAGAATAAACTTTAAAGCAGCTCTGCTTGTACAAGTGTCTCCATGGCCGAGCACCAAAGTCCATCTGTAACATGTTAGTGTCATATGAACCATCTCACACTCTGAGGAGCTCACGGACCGGCCTCCTGCTGGTGCCCAGAGTCACGACTAAACAAGGGGAGTCAGAGTTTCAGGTTCATGCAGCTAAAACCTGCAAGAGTCTTCCTGAACATGTGGAACAGGCCTCTACTTTGAAGCTGTTTAAATCCAGGCTCAAAACTGTTCTGTTTAGCTGCATGCGACTGAAAGGTTTTAATTTTTCATTCCGCACTCTTCGCTCTAATTTATTTTATTTTATTTTTTTATTTTATGATGATGATTTATGTTTTGATTTGTTTTTAATTGTGATTTTAATGTATTTCTTATTCTGTAAAGCACTTTAAATTACTTTGTGTACAAATTGTGCTATACAAATTAACTTGAATTACAAAGTACTCTCTATAAATATTAAGGTAATATTTACGGAACCTCCTGCTTTTGTTCTTTGTAAGAGAGGCAAACTAGTCTGACCTCCCAAACAGCACAATAATTAGATTTAAATTGTCCATTGTCCATTTACAGAAGATTATTGTGCTTGGTCACGTTTCAGTTTTGACAAGCTGAGGACAAAAGCTGGCTCAAAATCAAAGCCAAATATAAATTCAATTCTTTATATAGCACATTTTATAAACAAAACAGTTTCTAAAGCGTTGCACATATAAAGATGGCTATTATTACACCCTAAAAGAAATAACTGGAAAAGGAATTTGTTAATGCTTCTTTCCGCATGGTTCTCATCCAACTAAGCAGAAGATTTGATTTTTACAGGGTTTTAAAAGGATTTTAAAGGGATTTTAAATTTTGTAACATTTTCTTCCACAGACCAACAGTCTAAAACATAAAACAAGACAAACTAGAAAAGCCGCCAAGGACTACAGTCCCCCTCATATTAATTGTGTTTTCCATAAATATTTGTCTCGTATCTTTCAATTTGGAATATGAAAGAGGATCCGATTGTCCATCCCTGAGTCAAGTTTCATGGGGTTTGGTCAATAATTAACCGAGATATTGAGAAACAAAATTTTTGGCCCCATTTACCACAATGTTAACTAAAATTTCAAAGTGATCCAGAATCCAGGATTTCTTCCGGATCACCCCCCAAAATGAAATCAGTTCTTCCTTTTCACATTTCCAACAAATCCTGAAAATTTCATCAAAATCGGTCCATAACTTTTTGAGTTATGTTGCTAACAGACAAACAAACAAACAAACAGACAAACAAACAAACAGACAAACAAACAAACAAACAGACAAATGTCGGCAAAAACATAACCTCCTTGGCGATAAGACACTTAACCCCCCTGGCCCCAGAGTGTGTGTACACTGGTGTATGAATGTGTGTGAATGGGTTAGTGCTTCTTTAATGTTCTTTTTAAAACTCTTTAAGTGCCTTGAAGGTGGAAAAGCTGTATAAAAATGTGACCATTTACATTGTCTCTGTTTATTTTGAGATCACTGACCACTCTGACCAAGTCTGTGTCGGTGCTGTGTGTGACATAATGAGTGGAGCTCACCGACTAAATATAATGATAAATCAAATAAACCAAAATAAACTAACAATGCCACTGGACACAGAAAACAAATGAAATAAAGAATAGTTCATAGTTCAATAGTTCATTTCTCACTTTACTCCTTTGAGGAACAGACAACACATTACTTCAGGTAAATAGCGCTTAGTCTTTTCCAGTCATTTAAAATAAAATGTTACACAATTCACTTGATTTATTTACGAAGATAAGACAGCAGCTCTCTAAAAGGTCCAGTGACTTGAGACCCCACACCTGAAGAGACTGTTCATGACAAGAGATGCCTGTTTCATAGTTTTCACTACAGTTTAACCTGCACATCAACACACAGGATTAAGGAGACATGGAGGAATGTCTCACTTTTAAAAAGTAACAATGGGAGGAGTTTTGTAATTATATATGAGCGAGCCACTGCACATGGAATTTAGGATTGTATAACAGCCTTAAAATATGTTATAGAAGTTCAGAACCAATTGATCCATTTGTTCTGGTTCACCATGAAGAGAAGTGGAGCCTGTAATTCCACAAATATATGTCAAATATTGATATGAATATTTTAGCACCTCCTGCCTTTGCACTCATAGGCTGAGTTCAGACTGCAGCTTGAAGTGACCCAAATCCGATTTTTGGCCCCTATGTGACCTGTATCTGATCTTTTGATCTTTTATTGACAGTCTGAA